ATTGGCTGGGAAACACTAAATCTCATAAATGTACCAAGAGTCGCCTATTGGGGGAATTGCTAAATAGTTTTGTTTGAGCTTCTCGTTCCTCTCCATATTTATCTCCCTCGCTCCAAATAAGGGGAAATGCACCGGCCCAAGTCAGGTCAGAGACACGTTCTGTGAGAACAGGAGTTACAGGGTGTTTGTACCTGGTTCAAGCAAGATTTGTTTTATTCTTTTAGTAGTAAAAATTGGGTCTGAATTCCGTTGGTATCGATCATATCTTCACCCACCGGTTTCTGTCGGTCGGTTGGTTGGTTTTTAGCAGCATGGGGGAATCTGTCTCTCTTGCGGGATTTGCAGGATCGAAGGTTTTTGTGGCTGGGAGGGGGCTGAAAATGCAATAAACAAAGCCGGGCACTTAAATAACAGGAACGGGACAGAATTAAAAACAGTCCCGCTTAGGGCTCTAGTCTGAGGCCCATTGTGTGGTGTCCCCCACTGGCGGCTGTGCCCCCCCGGGCAGACCCAGCGCTCCCCGTGTCTCAGGCCAACTTTTGCTGCTCTCCCCCATTGCCACCAGCCCTCATTGTCCCGCCCAGCCGAGTTCCCAGGCTGGGCTGTGCCCGCCCCCTGGGGGCTGCTCCCCGCTCTGCAGCCAGGCCGCGGCCCGTGGGAGCGCTACCAGCCACAGGGCCCCAGCAGGGTTCAATGGCTCCTGACCCCTCCTCTCCTCACAGCCCATCCGTGCCAGCCCTCCCTGGGGCGCCGAAGGGAACCGGGACCCTCCCTCACCTGCTCTGTGGGGGCCGCCTGCCCCTATTGCACCTCCTGGTACGACCGAGATGGCGTGCGGCAGAGCCCAGAGCAAACCCCGGGCCGGGCTGGAGCGACTGAGCTGCGAATATCCCCGTCCCAGCTGGCCCCCGGCGCGGCTCTGAGATGCCAGGCGGATGGATACAGGGATGAGTGTGACTCTGACCAATCCCAGCCCCTGGCGTCAGGTGATCTCTGCTGCTAGACATGGCATGGGTAGAGCACGGGGGGCTGGGAGCCAGGACGCCTGGGAGGGGAGAAGAGTGGGGACTAGTGGCTAGAGCAAGGGAAGATGGAGTCAGGATTCTTGGCTTCTATCCCCATTTTTGGAGAGGGGATAGTGGATTAAAGTGAGGGAGACTCAGTGCTAGGACTCCTGGGTTCTTTCCCCAGCTCTGGGAGGGGAGTGGGTCTGTGGGTGAGAGCCAGGGGGCTGGGAATCAGGACTCCTGGGTTCTATTCCCTCAAAAACTGTCACCTGGCTCTAGCAAATATTCTTGCCCCGTGGGACTGGACGTGGAGGGACCTGCCCCTTTCCTCAGTCCCAGGACCCCACTGACAAACTCTCACCCGACTCTCACCCTCAGTCACCCCCAACGTGCCCAGTGTCGAGGTTTGGTGGCCGGCAGGGCAGGCAGCGCTAAGGGAAGGCGACGGTTTTACCCTGCGCTGCCAGGCTGCTGCCCTGCAGCCTCCCGTGTACGTCTGGTCCCGCGGGGACGTGTGGCTGCCAGAAGCCGGGCAGGATTTACGTGTTGACAAGGCAGCCGTCTCTGATGGAGGGAGCTACGCGTGCGGGGTCTGGGTCTCCGGCCCCGGCTGGGGGTATCTGAGCCTCTCTGCGAGGGAATCAGTCGAAGTTCAATGTAAGTATCAAAGGCTGGTGAGAGCCTCCTCCCTCGCAACCCCTGATACTCCCCACACGGCCTCCTGGAGCAGCCCCGCGTGCCCCCACCTCATCCCCCCTCTTTCGTCCCCGCTCACCTCATTAGCCCCAGCCTCATATTCCGCCCCCGCCTGCTAATACCCGGGTTTGGTCAACCCCAGTGCTGCTCCTCTGGGCTGGGCCCCCTGCTCCTCTGCATCGCTCCCATGGCTGGGCCCATCAGCAACAAATTCAGTTTGTTTCTCCCCCCCGCACCTGCCCTGGGCCCCCAGCCCCCTCCAGGCCACTGCCCATCCCCCCACCCTCGACCCGGGACCCCGACTTCC